ATTTTAAAGATTTCATTTGAGAGAAAGAGAGAGAGATCACGAGCATGGGGGAAGAGTAGAGGGAGAAACAGACTCCCCACCAAGCAGGGAGCCTGATGTAGGACTTGATCCCAGGACCCAGAGATCATGACCTGAGTTGAAGGCAGATGCTTAACAACTGAGCCACCCAGGCACCCCTGTTGTCTTTCTTTTAAAAAAAAAATATATATATATAGATTGCTTTTTTTTCCAATTATTTTCTTTAACTACTACCTCTATGTCAATGGTTTCCAGATTTATATGTCCCACCCTCTCTCCTTAACTCTTAAAAAAAAAAAAGATTTTATTTATTTATTTGACAGAGAGACAGATCACAAGTAGGCAGAGAGGCAGGCAGAGAGAGAGAGAGAGGGAAGCAGGTTCCCTGCTGAGCAGAGAGCCCAATGCGGGACTTGATCCCAGGACCCTGGGATCATGACCTGAGCGGAAGGCAGAGGCTTTAACCCACTGAGCCACCCAGGTGCCCTGCAAGTAAATAAATAAAATCTTAAAACAAAACAAAAAAAGACACAGTATTCCACTCAGTATCTCCTTTTGGGTGTCTAGCAAGCATCTCTGACAACATTCACACACCAGGTCTTGCCTGACATCTGATCTGTTTCTTTACGGTTTTCAGTATCTGCCCTGTACCTCGGAGGGGGCCCTCAGAGGCTCTGTTCCCCAGCCCTCCGTACTGCCCAGCCCCTGCAGGAGAGAGACTGATGTGATGGAGAGATGACAGAACCTTTCTTCTGCTCCCTCTCTGCCTCAGGGAGCTTCTCTGGCAGTGGCTGCAGCTCTCGCTAGACAGACCCGCTGTGGTTCCTCTTCCATCAGGTGACCTCAGTCCCTGGACATCACCACTTCCTCCGTTTGTCCTTCCAGCCTAGGAGTGCTTGTGGCTTCCTCCTGATGCTGATCTCTGGCTTCCCTCACCGTCGGTCCCCTTTTGGCCCCTCAGGTCTCGCATCACCCAGGCAACCACACGTTCAACCCTACCTCACACCTACCTCACCCGTTCCAAGTAGTTGCTGTTGGTTGGTTCGGTCTTGATTGCTATGGTTGTTCTCGGTGTCAAGAGTGGCTTCAGGCGACAGATCCCCCAGCTGGGGTACTGGGGTTAGCTGGTTCACCCGTGTGCACGTTAATGAAATGATATCTTTGCAGGTGGAAAAGGGGAGTCCAGTTCTCTCTAGAATACGTTGTCTCTTGGAGGAATGTAGAAGAGGCTTGGGGGTCGACAAATGTGTCACAATGAGAATAGTTCTTGGACTCTTAACGACCACATCCTTTTGTATATAACATCCCCTCTGGACTCTCTTCTTTAAAATATTATTTAAAGATTTTATTTTATTTTATTTTTTTAAAGATTTTATTTATTTATTTATTTGACAGAGAGATCACAAGCAGGCAGAGAGGCAGGCAGAGAGAGAGGAGGAAGCAGGCTCCCTGCTGAGCAAAGAGCCCGAGCCCGATGTGGGGCTCAATCCCAGGACTCTGGGATCATGACCTGAGCCGAAGGCAGCGGCTTAACCCACTGAGCCACCCAGGCGCCCCTAAAGATTTTATTTTTAAGTAATCTCTACACACACAGCGTAGGGCTTACATGTACAACCATGAGATCAAAAGTCACATGCCCCCTTGGGACGCCTGGGTGGCTCAGTGGGTTAAGCCGCTGCCTTCAGCTCGGGTCATGATCCCAGGGTCCTGGGATTGAGTCCCGCAGCGGGCTCCTTGCTCAGCAGGGAACCTGCCTCTCTCCACCTCTGCCTGCCTCTCTGCCTGCTTGTGTGCTTTCTCTCTCTCTCTCTTTCTAACAAATAAATAAATAAAATCTTAAAAAAAAAAAAGTCACATGCCCCAGTGACTGAGCCAGCCAGGAACCCCTTTGGCCTTATTTCTTCCTCTGTATCTTAGTCAGTTCTGGTCGAGATAACAAAATGCCGTAGGCCAGGCGGCTTAAATAACAAACATTTATTTCTCACAGTCCTGGAGGCTGGGAAGTCCAAGATCAAACTGCTGGCAGATTCGGTGTCGCTTCCTGGTTTGCAGATGGTTGCCTTCTTACTGTGTCCTCACATGCTGCAGGGGGAGGGAGAGAGAGAGAGGGAGGGAGAGGGAGGGAGGGAGAGAGAGGGAGAGAGGAGAGATTGTGTCTCTTCTTGAAATGGCAGTAATCCCCGGGCACCTGGCTGTCTCATTTGGAGGAACGTGTGACTCTTGATCTCAGGGTTGTGGGTTTGAGCCCCAACTTGGGTATAGAGATTGCTTAAAATTAGAATCCTTAACAAATAAAAAAATAAATTTAAAAATAATAAATAAACAAATAAGTAAAGGTACTAATCCCATCATGGGGTTTCACCTTTACGGCCTCATCTAAATCTCCCGGTGGACCCATCTCCAGAGGTCACAGTGAGGATTAGGGCATCAACATATGAATTTTGGTGGATTGTCTGTAGCAAAACAAACATATTGTCTGTAGCACTCTGTAAAATAAGGATAATTATTCACTCTCTGAAGGTTTCAGAACCCCCAGTTCCCATCATGTTGTGGGTACAAATGAAGCCACATTAATAAACCTCAAATCTTCAAGCATTTAATCTATAAATCAACTAGAAAGAAGTAACATCGTCATAGTAATATCTTTGTTTTTCTTTTCAAAGAATTTATTTGACAGGGAGGGAGGGAGAACGCACACAAGCAGGGGGAGCAGCAGCCAGAGGGAGAAGCAGGCTCCCTGCTGAGCAAGGAGCCTGGTGCAGGATTCGATCCCAAGACCCTGGGATCATGATCTGAGCTGAAGGCAGACACTTAACAACGCCACCCAGGTGCCTCTTTATAGTAATATCTTGTAAGCCATGAAGATAATGCCCCACTTATTGAGGTAACTTTTCTCAACGATGTGTTTTCTGTAGAGTTCATGACATATCTTTTGTTAGATTCCTAGAATTTTTTTAGCTTTATATTATCTAGAAAGAGTACCTTTAAAATTTTTTTTTCATTTTCTAAATTTTTATCACTGGCATACAGAAATAAGTTGATTTTTTTATGTTTGCCTTTTTAATTTTTTTAAAAGATTTTGTTTATTTATTTGACAGAGATATCACAAGTAGGCAGAAAGGCAGGCAGAGAGAGAGGGGGAAGCAGGCTCCTCGATGAGCAGAGAGCCTGATGCGGGGCTCGATCCCAGAACCCTGAGATCATGACCTGAGCCGAAGGCAGAGGCTTAACCCACTGAGCCACCCAGGTGCCCCTGTTTGCCTTTTTTAAAAAAACATTTTGTTTATTTATGACAAAGTGAGAGAGGGAACACAAGAATAGGGGAGCTGGAGAGGGAGAAGCAGGCTCCCTACTGAGCAGGGAGCCTGATGCGAGGCTCGATCTCAGGCCCCGGGGATCAGGACCTGAGCTGAAGACAGATGCTTAATGACAGAGCCACCCAGGCACTCCATTATGTTGGCCTTTAAAAAAAAAAAAGATTTATTTTAGAGGTAGAGTGAGAGAGGGGTAGAGGAAATGGGAGAGAATTTCAAGCAGACTCCCCACTGTGTGTGGAACCAGACACAGGGCTTGATCCTGTGACCCTGAGATCATAACCTGAGCTGAAGGCAGATGCTAACCCCACCACCCAGGGAGCCACCCAGGCACCCTATTTCATTATAATTCATTATGCACTTTTAATTTGTGAACTTTTCTGTTTATGTTATACTTCAACTGCAAGTTTAAAAGTAGTATTACTGTGGTGGTTTAAACAATGTCCACAAACTGACATGCTCTCCAGAATATGTCTGCAGGGGCACCTGGTTGGCTCAGTCTGTGGAGGGTGGGATTCTTAATCCTGGGGTTGTAAGTTTGAGCCCCACATTGATGAGGGTTTGCTTTAAAAAATAAAATAAAATCTTTTTTTTTAAAGACTTTATTTATTTATTTGACATACAGAGATCACAAGTAGGCAGAGGGGCACGCAGGGGAGGAGGGGGAAGCAGACTGCCCCCCCCACTTGTGCACTCTCCCTCAAGCACTCTCAAATATTATTTTTATTTTTTAAAAGATTTTTATTTATTTATTTGACAGAGATCACACGTAGGCAGAGAGGCAGGCAGAGCCTGAGCCTCTGACTGCCTTGTCAGGCTCCTGAGCCCAAACTGTCCAGCTAAGCTGCTCCCAGATTCCTGGCCCTCAGAAATTGTGTGAGATAATATATGTTTATTGTCTTTGCAATTAAGTTTGGGGAGGGATAATTTTTTACCCACCAATAGACAATATAATTATCTGGTTTAAAAAAAATCACTCTAGGGGCATCTGACTGGCTCAGTCAGTAGAGTATGTGACTTTTTAAAAAAAAGATTTATTTTAGAGAGAGAGAGCATGAGTAGGAGGGGCAGAGGGAGAGGGAGAGAGGATCTCAAGCAGACCGTGCTGAGCATGAAGCCCGGCATGGGGCTCGAGCCTATGACCCTGAGATCACGAACTGAGCCGAAACCAAGAGTTGGACGCCTAAGTGAGTGCACCACCCAGGGGTTCTGAAAGCATGTGCCTCTTGATCTCGGGGTCATGAGTTTAAGCCCCATGTTGGGTATAGAGGTTACTTAAATATTAAACTTAATATATATCATTTATAAATTTAATAATTTATAATATAATTTGATACATAATATATATGAATAGTATATATGTAATAATGTACTTATAGATTTATAAATTTATATAATTATGCAATTATAAAAATTTATATTTATAAAATTATAAATATTAAAAATCACTCTAAAAATATTTAGATTGACAGACCCAAACTCTACCGCAGAACTTTATTTCTTCCCCCTTCTTGACTCGTCAAAGAACTGTACTGCCATCAGCTCCTCTGTAGAAACCAGGACACCCCACTGGCCGAGGATCCAGTCATAGTGAGCAGAGGCTAGTGCTTGGGGTGTGCGCACTTTCCCAGCTCCGTTCTGGTGCCAAAAATGAGACAGAATTCATGCCGGCATGAGAGGCCATTTATTGTTCTGGGGTTGGGCCCCCACGTTTTGGGGGGGTCGTCCCCCCGCTTCCTCCCCCCATTGTCCCCGTGGACCCCTCAAGTGGCAGGTTGCTGAGTTGATCGTGGAGGGAGCACATCTTCAAGTGTAGATAGTCTAGAGTGGCCACCTTCTCCCTGTAATGACAGGGTGGGGAGCTGGTGCTGTCAAGGCCAGATGCCACAGGACTGCAGTGAGGAGGGTGATTCAGGCCCGTTCCCCAAGACCTCACCCTCCTCCCATGCCCTCAGCCTCCTTCCTCACTCCGGCTTCATCTTGTCCGTCAGCAAGAGGTTCTTGGCCCGCAAGGCTTCGTCTTGGGCCAGCCGAAGGGTGGAGCTCAGGGCCTCTGCCCTGACGTGTTTGGCCAAGGCCTGGCGCTCCAGCTCCTGGGGAGAGGAGTGTAGGCGCGGCTGGGCTTGCCGGACTGGGCTGGGGGTGGAGGGGGAGCTGGATCGTGGAGGGCAGGGGGCATGGGGCCCAGGGGCCCATGTTCCTCCCACAGGGCATCCCATCATACTCTGGGCCTGAAACTGACCCGAGCATCCCACAGTGTGCTGGGCTTTCCAAATTCCCATTGTGTGCTAACAGACTGTCTGTGCCTTAGTGTACTGGTTCCCCATGTCCTGGCAAGCACTAACTGAGCACCTAACATACTGTTGCCTAATGCCCAGGAACCATCATGCACTGGATGTGTGTCTGGGCCCCGGTATCCCATCATGTGGCAAACTTCTGCATCCCCCAATTCAGAAGAGCCCACCTCTCTTTATCTATTTGACCAGCATCTCAGTTACAGTCATAGTCATCGGAGCCCTGGTTCCTCATATTCCCCAATGTCCCAGGTGCCATGTCCCATCGTGGATCAGTTCTACAGCTCTGCCACATCTATGTCTGTCTCACTCACTGCAGACCTGTACCCCGTCAGACGTGAGGCCAGTATCCCGTAATTCATTAGATATCTAGATTTCAGAATGTACACAGGCCTCAAGTCCCATCAGTTCCTGGGCACGAGCTCTAGTTCCACTTCTCATAATGCATTCGCTTCCAGTGATCTCCATTCGCTGGGTCCCCTGTCTAACCTCAGTGAGCCCGTATTGCCTCTCTTAAGGTCTGTAGAAAATCAGGCTTGTATTTTATGAAGCTACAGTCTGGTGTCTGTGTCCTGCACCCCACACCCAGTGTGTCATCATGCTTTGGGTTCCATAGTGACTGACCTATGACTTACCACCAGACTGCCTCCCCCTCCCCCGACCGCATTCTTCAGGGCCAAGTGTTTGCCCAACACCTGCTGCCCATAGCTTACTGCTTCCTGTCCTGCCCCACACCAACAGTATCCTTGTGCCCAGGGCTCCCCTCCCGCTCCCCTGACAGAAAAGTGGGCCATGATGGCCTATGGTTCCTGGTACCAGAATCTTCTTGTGTAGCCTCTGGCAGCTGGGGCAGGCGGGAGCCAGGCCCCTCTGCTTCACCTCATCCACTAGTGGGGTCAGTGCTCGCTCCAGCAGCTGCTGCAGGGACTCTGACGACAGCTGCGACCCCTGGCTGAGGGAGGGGCAGTCACCAGGTGTAAGAAGCCTAGTACCAGCTCCATTCCCAGATGCCCCCTGCCCAGCCGCCCCACCTCCACCCAGATCTTGCCAACACTAGACACCCATGCGACCTTCCCACCATGCACTGGGGCCAACCTACAGTGCACCAGGTCTCCTTTGTTTTCACTATATGAGTAGTTCCTACAATGTCTGGGGATTCCCACTCCCAAAGGGTACCAGACAGCCCTTGGTTCATAAAACAAAACAAAACAAAACCAAACCACCACATTTCCCACAATGCACTAGTTACATGTGATCCTACATCGTGCTGGAAGTCCGTGAACTTCACAATACGGACCAAGAACGGTATCCCTTGGTTCTGCAGTGCACCAAGGTCTCACCTTTCCCACAATGCTCCGAGAAACCCTGCCTCCCACCAAGTACCACATCCCAGCCTTCCCACAATGCACTGGAAATCCAGGATCCTCGAAAGGTATCAAAACTTGTGTTCCACAAGACACTGACTTCACTTTGTAGGGAGGGGGAAAAGTCTGGCTGCTGCAACGCAGCAGTCCTAAAATGCACGGGATATCCTATCTCCTAAAGTGAACTCCGCCCCCTCCCCTCCCTTGGCCAGAGCCCCATCTCCTTCAATATTCCACCCTCAGCATGACCCAGAATGTACCAGGCCCTGCCAGGCCCCATCCCCTTACCTGGCACAGCGGGCACAGGAGCCTTGGGGCGGCCGATCCAGGTTCATGGAGAGGTCAGACCCTCTTCTAGAGCTCTGAAATTGCCGCCCTAGCTCCTCCAGAATAGGTTTCACTGGGCCCAGCCCCTCCAGGTCGCTCCTCAGTGAAGCCACAGACACTGCTGATCGCTCCACCCTGAGGTGTGAGAGTAACCAGCGCTGCGAGGTCGAGGTCGCCTCTCCAACAGCCCCGTCCTCTCCGCCGTCCACCCATTATCAGCCCAGCTCCTCGGTTCCCGTCTAGTCTGCAGTACCCCCGCCACGCCCGCCCTTCTTGGCTCTGATTGGCCCTTCCTTTGTGTTTTAAGTTCTGGAAGTCCCTCCCTGTTCTCTAATTGGCTTACCCCTTTCAGGCATAGCTCCTCCCCTCATCCTTTTTAGGTGTGGAACTCGACCCTTCTCTAATTAGCCCCGCCCTTCAGTCCTTATTGGGTATAGCGCCCCCCACCCCCACTTACCTTCTAATTAGAACTTCCTTCTGCCAGTCCACGGTCTCTACCGCTAGGCCCCAGCTGATTGGCTCATCCCTTTCGGTTAAAGCCCCGCCCCGCGCCCGGCGCCCCGCGCCACGCTCACTCGCCTTGGTTCTTACATGGTGCACAGTTCGTCCGCCCTGCCCCGCAGCTCCTGCAGGCCCCGCGCAGCCTGCGCCTGCTCACGCTGCGCCCGTTCCCACTGGCCCAGGAAGCCGTCGAGCCTACCGCCCAGGCCCCCAAGCAGCCGCAGGGCCTCCTGCACCGCCCCCTCCTCCTGATGCCAGCGGGCAGTCAGCGAGGACACCTCCCTCCTGCAGAGGCAGAGGTAAGGATCAGGTCAAGGCTCAGGTTTAGACGCATGCCCAGCAGCGCTGCCCCGCCCCAGAATCTGAACCCATCCAGCCCCCAAATTCTCCTGTCCTGTTCCTCTCTTGTAATCCTCCCATGTCCTACAGGACCCTGCCTCTGTCCCCCTATCCGGTACCCTGGCCCTTCCCTGGTCTTGCCCCCTACCCCACATCAGTTCCAGCAGACATTGCTTCGTTAAGGCACCGCTCACCCCAACTTCGTCCGCTTGAAGTTGGAGCCTCCGACGACTTGTCCCCTACCCAAACCTGCCCACACTAGCTTCACCAGACACGGACCTCCCTTCTGCCAACTCTAGGCTCAAACTCAGTTCTTCTAAGTCCGGCCTTTCCAGGTCACCGTTCCCAACGCACTCCCTCCTAAGTTCTTGAAGGCTCCAGTGCCTGTGCCCTGTCCCCTAAGATCTTCGAGGTTCCACCCTCGGGCCCACCCATTTTAGCTCCTTGCGGCTTCACACCAACCCCCCTTTCCCACTCGCCTCAGCTCGTCAAGGCCGGCAGAAACCTTCTGCAGCTCCTGCTCGCTTATGATGGGGCCCTCCGCTGCCCGGGGCCCCATACCCCAGCCGCCTGGGGCCATGCTGCGTGGTCGTGGGGGTTCGTCGGGGCTCCCTGGGGGGCCAGAGCAGCCAGGGGACGGGGCAACGGGGCCCAGGCCGTGCCGAGAGAGGCCGGCGTCCAGCTTCTGCTCCAGCTCCTGCAGCTCGGCCTCCTGCCTCCGCGGGGTCTCATCCTGCAGTTGCTGCTGGAGGAAGCGCAGCTTCTCCTGGGTGGGGAAGGCAGGCAGGGTTGCCGCGTCCCGCCGCTTGCCTCCCACGGCCACCTCCACCCGCAAAGCAGCCCACGGAACCCCCGAGATTGGAAAGTAAATGGATGTGGAATAGAATATCGGGAAGCCCCGCTTCAAGTCTAAGTGGACTTTCCACCGGGGAAGCTTGTGCCATGTGCAGCCTAGCTGGAGGCCAGCTCCCTTTAACCCCCGACTGCTTGCCTCCCTGTCTCCATCCAGCCCTCCATCCCACTCCCGGTCTCGGTGGTGTCAAATTCCAGTCCCTCTTGTTTAGGAAGGACAGTTGAAGGTTTTTCAACATTTTGCTGGGAAGTGAGTGGGAATCTGGGCAGGACAGGCATTCCTCCTCTCTAGAGTGCCACACGAATCCCTACTGAATGTGACTGCATGGAGGAATATAACCATGAACGTGAAGGAGGGAGTGTGGTGGGACTGGCGGGGATGGGGGGGAAGTCCCACCTGAAGTCTGCCTCAAGTACCTCGCACCTCTGCTCCTCTTCCCCATGTCCCCCCTCACCTCGAGCAGGGCAGAGTTCTGCTTCAGGACGTTGGTTTTTATTTCAGCATCTTCCACCGACCGGGTCACCTTCCGGCAGTTCTCCTGGGTCAGGACACCAGGGCGGGAGCCCTGCCTTCCCATTCCAGTTCCGCCTCCCAACCCCTACCCTCGCTAGTCTCATATAGGCTCCAGCCCCTCCGACAAGACACACCTGCTTCTTCCCGTAGGCCTGCCTTCTGCTCCTTGGTCTGTCCCTTACCTCTGGTCCCCTTGACCTAAGGGATGGCTTCCTCCTTAGACTCCCCCTCCCAGGCTTCTTGTCCACTTCCACCTCGCTGCTGGCTGACTCCATGCCTCCTTACATTTCTTCCCGCCCTGACTCTTCCTACTTCCTCTCCCTTCTCCCCACCCTGCTCTTGCCCCCCAACCACTCACCTTGAGTTGACTACAGTACCCTTCCAGTTCTTCGGCTTCTTGCCGCCTTCTTTCTAGATTCTCACTCAGCACAGAGCACTCACTCTGGCACACAGAAGGGAGGAGAGGTTAGCCAGGGCCACAGGGATATCTCCTGGGGAGGAGAGGCTGGGCCCCGTGGAAGGTCCCTTTCCCTTCTGAGCCTCAACTATCCCAACCCGGGCAGTGGGTACACTGGGTTGGAGGAGAGCTATAAGAGGGGAACGTGGCTGTGGAGGAAGAAGAGGTGTTGGGGGATCCCCCCACCTGCAGCGTCTGCACATGCTGGTTGACCCTGGTGGTCTTTTCCTTCAAGCTGGTGATGGAGTCTTTGGCACGGACCAATCCGCTGTTGACCCCACTCTGGGGAAAGAAGAGGAGAAGACAGCTCAGTGGGTGTGTTGGAGCAAACCACAACCCCAATAAAAAGGTCCAGAACTGGGAGGAGGCCAGGTTTATACCTCGATTCTGCCCTGGAGTGTCTGTGTGACCTTGGGCCAGGGCTGCCCCTCTTTGATTCTTGGTATTCCTGCTCTGTAAAACCAGGGGGTGGGGGGACTCGTTTTCTGCTTGGTGGGATGGAAGGAAAATAAGTAGAATCCAGGAGGGAGTAGGGGGTAGGGGCTGCACTCGGAAGTGGTTGAGAAGGATGGTCTCAACCAGAGACAAATGCCCCTGGGATCCACAGACATAAACAAGACAAACTGTTAAAAGACATGCGCTTTTTCTCCGGGCACTGGAAAAAGATTTTAAGAGAACCCACTTTCCAGATATACACACTCACTGTGCACCAGACCACACACACACATTTTCCCCTTTTATCCCTCAAAGCCACACCTCTTGAGCTTATTTGGTCCATCTTGCAAGTGAGGAAATGAGGCTTAGAGAAGCAATGCCCCTTTGGAATTTAAACCCCAAGTCTTTGTTTTAAACCATGACACCACGCAGCCTCTGATCATCGCCACCTTATATCACCAGAAAGTGCTTTGTGACTCTCATGCCAAGCAAAACTTGGCTCAAGACTGCTGCTTGTGGCAGGATCCACTCTGCTCTTTCACGTTTACAGAGGAGTTAGCCGTGCTTGGGTCTGTACAGCCAAAGACTGCATTTCCTAGGCTCCCTTGCAAGTAGGTGTGGCCATATGACAAAGTTTCGGCCAATGGGATGTGAGTAGCAATGATGAGGGCAATTTCTAAGTCATGCCTTTATTAAAAGAGAGGAGGGGAAACGTCCCTCTTTCTCTCTTCTTACTGGCTGAAATGCAAAGTTGATGGCTAAAGGCTGAGCAACCATCTTAGACCAGTTGGAGGATGCAACAAGATAGAAGCCTGAATCCCCAGCACTGTGGAGCCTGTGTACTCAACTCACAAATGAGAGATGACATTTTCCATCTTGTTTAACCTCTGATATTTTGTGTCTTTTTGTTAAGGCAGCCAAACTTGTGATTTAATTTGTGAACCACCAGAACACAGGAGCCTGTAACTTGCTGCATTTGAAGAGCAAGACTGCTATGCTTGTTGAGACTTTTATATGAGAAATAAACTATTTTACTTTAGCCAGTTACTTTGGTTTCCTTCATGGTTGCTGAATTAATAATACACGAAGAGAAAAGAGAGGACAATTTCCTCCATTGTAAGATAGGGACAAGATCATGTTTCTGGAATGATTGCTCTGGAGAATAGGCTTGAAAAGAAATATGGTATTAAGGTGACGTAAGGAAAATAGTGGAACCCCAAAATTCCACCTCTCCATAAAAACAATGAAAAAACGGCCCAAATCTGTAAGAGTCAAGTAATTGAGAAGATACAACCGTTATAAATTCATATGCACTGAACAGAGATTTGAAAGGCGTGAAAAAGTGGCGCCTGGGTGGCTTAATCAGTTAAGTGTCCAACTCTTGGATTGGTGTCAGATCATGATCTCATGAGGGGTGAGATTAAGCCCGTTGTCAGGCTCTGCACTCAATGGGGAGTCTACTTGAAGATTCTCTCCCTCTGCCTCTCTGCCAATGTGTGCGCGCACACACACGTTTTCTCTCTCTCTCTCTCAGATAAATCTTAAAAAAAAAAAAAAAAGATTCTCTCTCTCTCCCTCTTTTTCTGCTCCCCCCCAAAAAAAAGCTTTAAAAAAAAAGTCAATACATAGGAAATTTGGGGAACTAACAAATCAATAGAAACTAAACACACTCAAAGAACCGATGAGTAGAAAAATCAAAGAAAAAATAGAAAACACTTTGGGATGAAAAAGTGAAAACACAACAACCAAAAAACATATGGGATGCAATGAAAGCAGGACTTTGAGGGAAATTTAGAGGTCCCAACACCTTCCAAAAAGAACTCAGAGTCAATAACCTAGCTTTCCTCCTTAAGAAACTAGAAAAAGAAGAGGAAGACAAACCCAAAACTAGCAGAAGGAAGCAATAAACTGAAGTGAGAAACTTTGAAATCAAGAAAGATGGAATCAGCAAAACTGGAAGTTGGTTTTTTGGAAAGATCAACACAATTGACAGATCTGTTGTAGCAAGACTGACCACGGAAGAGAAGACTCAAATTGCTAAAATCAGGAAGGAGAGAGGGGACATTGCTACCAAGATTAGGGAAAGAAAAAGGACTATAAGAGAATACTATGAACAGGGCCCCCGGCTGGCTCACTCAGTGGAGTGTGCGACTCTTGATCTCAGGGTTGTGAGTTCAAGCCCCACATTGCGTGTAGATATTGCTTAAAAATAAAATACTATTTTATCTTTTTTTGTTGTATTTTAGAAAAAGAGAGAGCACGCAAGTGGGAGGAGGAGAAGAGAGGGAGGGACAAGCAGACTGTGTTGAGCATGGACCCTGATGTGGGGCTTGACCCCACGACCCTGAGATCATGACCTGAGCCAGAATCAAGAGTTGGATTAACTCTTAGCTGACTGAGCCAGCCAGGCACCCCAAAATATTTTGTATAATTTTATTTAAGATTTTATTTATTTACTTGAGAGAGAGCTAGCATGAGAGGGGGAAGGTCAGAGGGAGAAGCAGAGCCTCCGCCAAGCGGGGAGCCCAATGCAGAACTCGATCCCGGGACTCCAGGATCATGACCTGAGCTGAAGGCAGTCGCTCAAGCAACTGAGCCACCCAGGCACCCCCAAAATATTTTTTAAAAAAGGAAATACTATGAACACTTGTGTGCCATCAAATTTGATTATTTTGATGAAATAGGGAAATTCCTAGAAACACAAACTATCAAAAGTGATTCAAAAAAGGGCACCTGGGTGGCTCAGCCTTCGGCTCAGGTCATGATCTCAGGGTCATGGGATCAAGCTCCACATCGAGCTCTCTGCTCAGCAGGGAGCCTGCTTCCTCCTCTCTCTCCACCTGCCTCTCTGCCTACTTGTGATCTCTCTCTGTGTCAAATAAATAAAATCTTTAAAAAAACTTTAAAAAAAGTAATTCAAAAAGAAATAGGACATCTGAATAGACCCTTAAGAACTGAAGAAATTTAGTTCCAACAAAGAAAAGTCCAGTAGCAGATGACTTCACCAGTTAATTCTACCAGTTATTTAGGATATAACTGCTACCAGTGGAACTCCAACTCTTCAAAAACAAAAATAGAAGAGGAGGGAGCAGTTCCTAACTCATTCTATGTGGCCAATGTTACCCTAGTACCAGAACCAAAGACAGTCCAAGAAAATAGAACTAGAACCCAGTATCCCTTCTGAATACAGCCACAAATCCTTAACAAAAAACTAGCAAACCAAATCTAGCAACATAAAAACAAGAATTTACACCATGACCAAGTAGGACTTTTCCTATGAATGCAAGTTTGGTTAACGTACGAAAATAAATTTTTAAATCCATATGAAAACCAGTGTAATAGATACTGTTAATAGAATAAAAGGAGAAAACACACATGGTTGTGTCGATAGGAAAAGCATTTGACCAAATCTGACCTTCTTTCATAACAAAAACACTCATCGACTAGAAATAGAAGGGAACTTCCTCGTCCTGATGAATGGCTTGTACAAATAACCCCCGACAAAATATCTTGTTCTGAAATATGTCCACGGATTTGTTGACATCCCTTTAAAATGAGAAGCCTTATTCCCTCCCACTTGAGTGTAAGCTGGACTTGGTGACTCTCACACCTAATAAACAGAATCAGAAGTGATGGTGTGTGATTTAAGAGACAAGTTCATGAAGGGAATCATGGCTTCCTGCTTGCCCTCTCTTGCTCTGGGGAGTAGCTGCCATGTCATAGGCAGCCACTTGTGGGGAGGCCCACGGGGCCAGGAATTGAGTCTCCAACTAAGAGCCGTGTGAACGTGGATGTGCAACCTCCAGCCCCACTCAAGCCTTCGGATGACTGCAGCCCCTGAAAGTTTGACTCCAGCCTCCTGAGGGATCCTGAGCCAAAACCACCCAGCTAAGCCATTCCAGTTGGTTGGTTGAAGTTTGGGGATGACTTGTTTCATGGTGATAGCTAACCAAGACACAAAGTGATATTTTGAACCAAAGACCCAGAAGGTCTCGGGCTTCCTGTAGCCATTCTGGGAAACAGATAAAGCAGGTCCTGGGGTCAACTCAGTTCTCTCACTTAGTAGTTGTAGGACCTTAGCGGGGGGACTTCATGTCTCTGTGCCTGTTACCCTCCCTGTCACATGGAGATCGAGCTAATAGCTAAACCCCCAGGGCTGCTGTTGGGAGGAACACAGGCTGGCTCAGAAAGGCTCATGGTCAATACTTCTTGACAAGGGTCAGTTTGGGTCCCTGGAGGTGAGTTGCAGCTTCCCTGAGAGCAGATCAGGGGGCGGTGAAGGCAGAGCCTGTCAGCTCTGGCTGAGAAGTGAGTGGCATGATGGTGGCGGGGGGGAGCCAGAGATGGGGACAGACCGCTCCATGGCCACCTATAGGCTGTAAGTCAGCGATTTAAGCTCCACTCTGAGCCTGCTTCAGTTTCCTTTCTCATAAAATGGGAATGATGTTACTTTGGTTCAGATGGCAGTGAGGAAGGGTCAACAAGATGGTATGATCGAGGGGCGCCTGGGTGGCTCAGTGGGTTAAAGCCTCTGCCTTTGGCTTGGGTCATGATGCCAGGGTCCTGGGATCAAGCCCCACGTCGGGCTCTCTGCTCAGCAGGGAGCCTGCTTCCCCCCAAGCCACCCCACCTGCCTCTCTGCCTACTTGTGATCTCAGTCTGTCAAATAAATAAAATAAAATCTTTAAAAAAATGGTATGATCGGTAAGGCAAGCTCAGTGATTAGTGCCAGAGTTGTTAAAAATAATGACAGCAGGGGAGGAATTACCAGGAGGGGGCTTAGCGCCGAGATCTCCCAGCAGCCTCTGGGAGCCTCTTCTGCAGTCAGCAAGACAAGTCCCAAGCAGAGGTCATGAGCCCTCCCCTGTGCATCTTTGCTTTGATTCACTGACCTTCTCAAAAAGCAATACCACCATCTCAGTTCCTCCTCTGTCCTCATAAAGCTGTCAAAGCTTAAGACAGGAGCCAAAGCTGCCTGCTTCGTGTTCTGCGGTTCTCTGTCCAGTCTGGGATTTGTCATCTCAACCATGGTCCCCAGGCATCCAATTATCTTCCTTCTCTCTAGTTCTCTGTCCCATGTCTTTCTGGATCTCTGTTCCCCCTCCCCCGCCCCTGTCTCTCTGAGTCTTTGTCCCTGCTCTCTGGATCACTGAGTCCCCTCCCTGGATCTCTGTTCCCCTCCCCTCTGGGCTCTGTCCCCCTTCCCGGGTCTCTGTCCCCCTCTTGCTGGTTTTCCACCCCCTCCTCTCTCCCTGTCTCCAGCATTCTCTCCTGATGTGGTCCAGATGCCGAGTGCCAGGATGTGCTCTTGCTGTCTACACTCCCCCGCTGCTCTGCACATGCCCCTGGGTGTTGGCCATCATTACTTTTCCATTTCACAGAGAAGGAACCTCAACCCCCTCGGAGGCTGAGGCATCCCTGCAGCCCCACGGCGAGCTCTCCCCTGGATGTCACGATCCACTGGGGGACATGACTCAAACTGCTCTGGTGGGAGGCAGACCTCTGCAGATGCAGTCTGAGCAATGCTCACACGGAGGGAGGACACTGTTCTGGCCGGGGGAGATGTCTCTCTGCCCAGTTCTCTTTTCTCCATCTGGCCCTTCTCTCCTGGACCCTAGCCCAGCCTCCTGTCCCGCCTCCCCGCCTCCAGCCTCCGCCTTCCAAACATCCCCACACCAGCTGCAGAAGAGTCTTCGAGGGAAAGAAAGGACCTTTGCGCTCACATTACCTGGCTTCTGGTCCTGGCCCTGACTCTTACAGGCTCTCCTACCTTGCAAAGGTCACTCCACCTCTCTGTATCTGTTATTTTTGTTTTCTTCTTTAAACTGGTAATTAACCAGATCCCTGGCAGAACTTCTAAGTGGAGAAAAGGAGACCCCCACCACAGTGCCTGGCACATAGTGGCTGCTCAGTAAATGGGACTGGAGTCCAAACTCCCGAACTGTTCCTCTCCCCCTATCCAGGAACCTTCAATGGCTCCCCATTGCCCTCAGGCAATGCACCCACATTTCTCAGCCTGTGTGGCCTCTGTCTCCCCCACTCCAGCCTCATCTCTCTCACACACCACACTCCAGCCCCGAAGACCAGTTTGTAGTTTCTCCTCTTCTCTGGGCTCTTTCAAACCCCTGTCCTTTTTGCACTTAATTGTGCCAGCCAGCTAGAACACCATTCCGTCTTCGGCTTTGGGAACGCCCAAGATCGAGCTTATGTATTGCCTTTTCGGGAAGGCCTCCCTTGGTCATGGCCAACTGGGCCAAGGCTACCCTCTTCAGGACTCCCACAGTGACCTCTGCTGCCCCATCAGTGCACGCAGGGTGCCCCCCCAACTCCTCAGACTGCCTCCACTCCTTACAAGCTGCATGACCTTGGCTGTGCTATTTAACCTTTCCTTCTTCAATCTTCATCTGGGAAATGGGGACAAATAATCATAAGCAATACTTCTAGGCTCACAGCCAGCTACTGTGCTAAATAAACACTCTCCATGAAGGAGTCCTGCTTCATTGTCATGACAAGCTCATGAAGTGGGTGTGGTCACGTCCAGAACTCCATCTTGCTCAGTTTCCTATGCCAGGGCCTGGCGCATCGTAGGTGTTCAAGACATATTTGGAAGAAACAACATGTGCATTTCTACATTGTGGATAGGGAAACCGGGGCTTCTGGGACATAGAAAGTGCTCAGTAAGTGCTGCTGAATCTTATTGGCATCATTACGACCATGGTTGTTATTCGTGTAATTCTGAGAGTCAGTGTCAAGTCCAGTTCTGGGCCTGGCCCAATGGAAGCCTGGCCGGGATAGAAGTTGACAGGGAAGTTAAAGGGTCAAACCATAGCGCTCCATGCTCTAGTCAGGAATTGTCTAAATTCCCCCTGGCTCTTGCTCACCTCCCAGTTTTGCCTCAGATGCTTAGGTGATCCCCTCAGAGAACTCCTACTACACAGTTAAAGCCCAGGTCCAGCACTGCCTCCTCCAGGAAGCACTCTCTGATTTTCCCAGCCTGGTTTGAGTGGCCCTTCTCTGAGATACCCGGTGTTACCTTCATTATGGAAAATTTTCACCCCAGTCTGTCTCTGTCCCTGCCCACACCAGACCAGGAGCTCCCCAAGTTCGGGAACCTGGCCTAACTCCCATCTCTGACTCCAGCCTCACCCAGGACATGTGGAGATGAGTGGATGAACTAAAGTCCGATTCCTAGGCAACAAGCATCATTCCACCCAGGATGGAACTGAGTCATGGCTGGCCATTCCGGGAGGAGAAGGGAGTTTCTCTGGGCCTCGAGGGTCATCAGAACCTTCTCATTCCAAGTCGAGAAGACCCCCACTCCCCACCCCCAGTATTTGCCTGCCCCCAGGGTGAAGACGCTCGTTGTGCCCAGCCAGGGCCCCTCACCAGTATTTCCGTGATGTCTGGGTCATCTGAAGCCCAGGGTTGGGTGGGGGAGGCGGGTGGCACCGGCAGCGCAAGTGGGCCACTGTCATCCGTGGTTGAGTCTGTCCCCGAGGAGTCCGTGGGCTCCATGGCAGCCAGGTTGAGCAGTGACACATTGGTGCAGGCCGAGGACCTTTTGAGGTTCAGGCACCAGTGCATTGGCTCGTGGGACATCCGAGGCTCCACCCTGGGGAGGAGAAGCCGGCAGGGGGCTCTAGGTGCAGCCCCAGTGGGTTGGGCCCCTCCTGACTCCCTGTCTCCACACCCCTGCTCTCTCTGACTCCCACCTCACCACCCACTTTCTTCTTCCTCCTCTGCCCCCACTGCCTAATGTCCTCTTCCTTCTCTATCTGTTAGTCCTCCCTCCTCCTGAGTTTTTCCTTCCCCATGACCTTTTCTTTCCTCCCTTCATCCCCACTACCTTCTTCCTCTCTGCCTCCCAAACCCTGCCACCATCCTCTTGTCTGCCCCTCCTCTGCCCCCTCCTCTGCTTCCCCTCCCCTTCCTCCAGCACCCACGGTGGGACTCGTGCTCTGTTGGAGGCAGTGCTGGGCGCTAGGACCGTCCCCGACAGGGTGCGGCAAACCCACCCGTGGAACGACACGGCCTTCTTTTTCTTCGTGATCCCCTTGGCCGGGGTGGCCACCCCTCCAGGAGCCTCGGGGACCACCTGGGAGCGGCTCTCGACCCCCGCAGGGGGGTCCCCAGCCTCATGGATCTCTTTGGACTGCCAGATTGTCTTCACCACCACGCTCGCCATGGCGTGTGGGGGGCCCTGCTCCCAGGGGCTCCTTCCTCTGAGACCCTCCACCTACTCTGAGCAGGGACCCTCAGAGTCCCTGTCCCCACAGCCTGCCTCATAAAGGACCCAACCACTGGGCCCCAGTAAGGGGGGGGCATAGGAGTAGAGAAAGGTACTGGCTAGCATGTTCCCCAGGGGGTTTCTGTGAACCATTCCTTGTCTTCTTGTAGTTTTTTTTTTTTTTTTTAAGGTTTTATTTATGGAGCGCTTGGGTGGCTCAGTGGGTTAAGCTTCTGCCTTTGGCTCAGGTCATGATCTCAGGTCCTGGGATCGAGCCCTGCATGGGGCTCTCTACTCAGCAGGGAGCCTGATTTCCACCCCCCACCGCCTCTTTCTGCCTGCCTCTCTGCCTACTTGTGATCTCTCTCTCTCTCTGTCAAATATATAAAATCTTTAAAAAAAAGATTTTATATATTTGGCAGAGATCACAAGGGGGGAAGCAGGCTCCCTGCTGAGCAGAGAGCCTGATGCGGGGCTTGATCCCAGGACCCTGAGATCATGACCTGAGCCGAAGGCAGAGGCTAAACCCACTGAGATATCCAGGCAGCCCCCTTTAAACAGAGAGAGAGACTGCAAACAGGGAGAGTGCCAGGCAGAGGAAGAGGGAGAAACAGACTCCCCACAGAGCAGAAAGCACGACATGGGGCTCCATCCCAGGACTCTGGGATCATGACCTGAGCCGAAGGCAAACACTTAACTTACTGAGCCACCCAGGGGCCCCGAACACCTTCTAGTTCTACCAAATAAGTCACTTCCATTAGAATGGCAATGGATTTATTCAATTTTTTTGTTTTAAGATTTTATTTATTTATTTGACAGATAGAGAGTACAAGTAGGCAGAGCAGCAGGCAGAGGGAGAGGGAGAAGCAGACTGCCTGCTGAGCAGGGAGCCCAATGAGGGGCTCGATCCCAGGACCCTGGGATCATGACCAGAGCCGACAGCAGCCACTTAACCGACTGAGCCACCCAGGTGTCCTGGATTTATTCATTCTTGTCTGGAACTTACAATGGATGGGCCCACTGGTTCTTTTTTTTTTTTTTTTAACGATTTATTTATTTCTTTATTTGACAGGCAGAGATCACAAGTAGGCGGAGAGGCAGGCAGAGAGAGAGAGGTGAAAGCAGGCTCCCCGCTGAGCAGAGAGCCCGATGCGGGGCTCGATCCCAGGATCCTGGGATCATGACCTGAGCTGAAGGCAGAGGTTTAACCCACTGAGCCACCCAGGCGCCCTGGGCCCACTGGTTCTTGGGAGGGTTTCAGCTTCCCTTCGTCTGAGACTGTAGAGTCACCCAACCCCTAGCCCGCCATTCATACTTGATTCTTTATGCAGTCTCCTAGACTTGGCACTTCCTGGGATCTGGGAGACCGTGGTGAATGAGGACTGAGTCCCAGTGCTGGAGGAGTCAACATTTCGGGTTTGGGGGTGGGGTGGGGCAGGCAGGCAACAGGCCAAAACAAACCAAACTACCAGATGTCTGTAAGTGATATGAGAATCAGCACGAGGGGATGGTGGTGCCTGTGCTTGTGGAGGCCCCTCCATCTGCGAACTTGGGATGTGAGCCTTTTGTTGCATGTGGCTCTTGCCTATTAAAAAAAGAAACTCAACAGACATTGAACTATAGTCAATGACAGGCATTTTGAAGGATTTGGGGTTGTAGCTGTTTCCTGGAGCTGCCGTAACAAAGACCCACAGACTGAGGAGGCTTCAACAGCAGACATTTATTGTCTCCCGGTTCTGGAGGCCAGGAGTCCAAGATCAAGGTGTCCGCAGGGTGGCTTCCTTTGGAGGCTGCAGGGAGCGTCTGTCCAAGCCTCTCTCCTCACTTCTGGTAGCTCAGGTATGACTCAGCTTGTAGATGTTCATCTCCTAGGTCTTCACATTATCTGTCTCTGCATCTAAGCCTCCCCCATTTTAAATACATGGTCGTGGGGGCACCTGGGTCACTGAAGTGTTTGACTTTGACTCAGGTCATGATTTCAGGGTCCTGGGACTGAGTTCCGTGGCGGGCTCCACGGTCAGCAGGGAGTCTGCTTCTCCCTGTGCCCCTCCCCCTGCTCGTGCGGTCTCACTCTCTCAAATAAACAAATAAAATCTTTAAAAAACAGATTTTATTTATTTGACAGAAAGACAGCGAGAGAGGAACACAAGCACGGGGAGTGGGACAGGGAGAAGCAGGCTTCCTGCGGAGTAGGGAACCCAATGCGGGGCTCCATCCCAAGACCCTGGGATGATGACCCAAGCGGAAGGCAGACGGTTAACCCTCTGAGCCACCCAGGTGTCCCTAAATAAATAAAATCTTAAAAAAAAAAAAAAAGACACGGTTGTTGTGCCCGGATGGCTCAGAGGAGCATGCAACTCTTGATGTCAGGGTCGTGAGTTTGATTCCCATGTTGAGTGTAGAGATTACTTAAATGCATGAATAAATAAACTTAAGAAAAAAATAAGGGTACGGTCATCCTGGATTAGGGCCCACTCAAATTCCCTCAACTTAACTTAATCATCTGCAAGAACCCTATGTCCAATAGTCAAATTCACAGGTCCCATGGGTTAGGACATCAACATGGAGACAGGATGATGTTAGGACACAGCTCAACCCACAACAGAGATGAACTGCGCTGATGTCCGAAACTCATATTTTGTATGGCTCAAAACACAAAATGGACTGATGGAAGGAGGGAGGGAAAGCCAGATGGTGAGATACGAGCTAGATGAAGTGGCGCACAACGTTCATAACAGAAGGAGGTCAAGATGCATGTTTGCTGTACCGTTGTTTCAACTCTCTGAATATTTAGAAATTTTCCTAATAAAATGCTGGGGTAGAAACTTGGTGATGGGCACGAAAAGATCTGATATGGACAGCTTGCTTTAAAATAATCCAGTAGGGGCTTGGAGGGGGGGCCTGGCTGGCTCAGTTGGCAGAACGTGTGACTCTTGATCTTGGGGTTGTGAGTTCAAGCCCAATTTTGGGTGTAGAGAGTACTTAAAAATAAAATCTTTAAAAGTAATCCAGTGAGGGGTGCAGAAGTGAAGTGGAGGGGTTACAGATGAGAGGCAAGATCATACACTGAGAATTGTTGGAACTGGCTCTATGGGGGTGCATTATTCCCTCCCAATTTGGGGTATATTTGAAATTTCCTATAATAGGCTTTTTTTTTCTAAGAGTGTGAGAGAGCATGCGCATGAGGGTGGGGACAGAGGGAGAGCGAGAGAGAGAAAATCTTTTTTTTTTAAGATTTTATTTATTTTTTTATTATTTATTTTTTTTAAAGATATTATTTACTCATTTGACAGACAGAGATCACAAGTAGGCAGAGAGGCAGGCAGAGAGAGAGGGGGAAGCAGGCTCCCTGCTGAGCAGAGAGCCTGATGCAGGGCTTGATCCCAGGACCCTGGGATCATGATCTGAGCCAGAGGCAGAGGCTTTAACCCACTGAGCCACCCAGGTGCCCCAAGAGAGAAAATCTTAAGCAGAGCCTGTTCATCGTGTAGAGCCCAAGTTGGGGCTCGATCTTATGACCATGAGATCATACCCTGAGCCGAAATCAAGAGTTGGATGCTTAACCAACTGAGCCACCCAGGTGCCCCGGTAACAGACTTCTTCAAATGCTGCATCATGTGTTAAAAAAAAATGACAGGGAGTGCTAATTTAATTCCCCTACATCCAGCAGTTCTCTCTTGAGCTGAGATCTGAGGCTGGGGGAGGCGTGGGTTGGGGTGTAGGAATGGGTCCGGAGGGTCTGAACTGTCAGGAGGAGGCCAGTGTGACTGGAGCGTTTATGCTGGGGAAGGACATGGCTGATTGATGTTGTAAAAAGTGTCCTGGTGTGTGTGGGGGATGGACTGTAGGTGGCCAGGATGGAAGCAGGGAGAGCCGTGAGAGTCATCACTGCAAGATTCCAGGTAAGAGAGGATGGTGGTGGTGGTCTGCCTGGGTGAGACAGTGCCCACAGAGGGAGGTGGCCGGTTTCAGATGTTTTCTGCCCTTAGTTTGGGGTGATGGACAGGGAGGGGTTCTGGCAAGAGTGCCCAAGAGATTGATGGAGGGCCCATTGGCCCAGATGGGAAGACTGGGGATGAATCCAGTTTTTCTGGAGAAAATAAAGAGTTGGTTTGCTGGGGCAGATTCTTAGAAGCTATTGCTAGTTCAATCCATGAGATCCTTGATGGCGCCTGGGGTTTCCTCTTAATGCTCCATCCTAAAGGCTAAAGGGTCTACTTAAAGCTCATTAGATGCCCCCAAATGTAGACTTATTCATAGTCTGGTCTTAAAACCTAACAGTGGGTAAGCCCATGAGCCCCTGAGCCCATCATGATCTTGCTCAAATCAGCTTTGTAATTATTTTTTTTATGGTCCTATAATTCTATACTGTCCAAGTTCACAGCCACTATCAATGGCTTGTAACTGCTGAGTGCCTACAGTGTGGTTAGTCTCAGCCAAGACATGCTGTAAGTAGAAAATACAGATTTTGGAGACTTAGGAAAATTAGGAATGCCTAGGAGGCTCTCTGTTAAGGGTCTGCCTTTGGCTCTGGTCCTGGGATGGAATCCCACATCAGGCTCCTTGTTCAGCAGGAAGCCTACTTCTCCCTCTGCGTGCTGCTCCCCCTGCTTGTGCTCCCTCTCTCTCTGACAAATAAATAAATAAAATCTAAAGGAAAAAAAAAAGACTTAGGAAAATTAGAATGGCAAATATGTTGCAGTGACAATATTTGGGTATATTAAGTTAAATACAATATATATTTTTTAAGATTTTATTTATTTATTTGACAGACAGAGATCACAAGTAGGCAGAGAGGCAGGCAGAGAGAGAGGAGGAGGAAGCAGGCTCCCTATTGAGCAGAGAGCCCGTTGTGGGGCTGGATTCCAAGACCCTGGGATCATGACCTGAGCCACCTAGGCGCCCTAAATACAATATATTATTAAAATTAATTTCACCTTTGGGGCACCTGGGTGGCTCAGTGAGTTAGAGCCTCTGCCTTCAGCTCAGGTTATGGTCTCAGGGTCCTGGGATGGAGCCCCGCATTGGGCTGTCTGCTCAGTGGGGAGCCTGCTTCCCCCCCTACTCCCCACCCCCCCACTGCCTGCCTGTCTGCCTACTTGTGATCTCTATCT